GTTTTTTTTTTTTGGGGGGGGGGGATTGGACTAAGATGAATAGTGTAAAGCACTCAACTGAAACTCAAATTCCTATCATTCTTTTTACGATCAGGTATGTGGTAGAACATCTGTCGCGAATTTGCCGAATTCTACGTGTCCCCGGGGGGAATGCATTGCTGGTTGGAGTTGGAGGTTCCGGACGTCAGTCTTTGACACGTTTAGCAGCTGCTATGGCTGGTTACAGCCTCTTCCAACCGGAAATCTCAAAAAATTATGGCAAATCGGAATGGAGAGAAGATTTAAAGGTAAATGACAGAATATGCGTCTAATTTCGATTTTCAAAGCCTAAATCATACTGCAGATAAGTCAACTTTATGGGTGTCTGCAATAATGACTGCGTGTGCATGACTATTTAAGGCGGTTGGAGGCATTCTGCAGCAATTGCTTAGAGTACAATAAAAAGCTGTCCAGCACTGTAATCCAACTAACTCTCAATCATATTTCCCAATTAAACGGTTTCCTCCATTTCCAGAAACCAGGGCGGAGTTGGTATAATGCTCTGATGAAGCATCGACAATACGGACATCTCGACTTGTCAGATCCAGCGTCACAACTCGCAGATTTAGAAACGTCTGAGACGAAATTTTTCCCCAGATCCCTGCAATAGCTCAAGGATCTGGCAGCATTAGTAGTGGACGGATTTACTTCTAAAACACATCCAGTTTCATGTTTGCATTCACGGGCAATTATTTGTTTCCACTCTATTACTTCCTGCCGAAACCCGAAGATGAAATGCCCATTATAGGATGAACGCCACAGTTGACCTACTTGACATCACCGGAATGATTAGTGAAATTTTTCCAAATCACAAACTATTTCCATATTACCATAATTTATTTTCTGTATTCATTCCTGATGGCATAAGCGGCTCCTCTTTCTACTTATGTGATACAAATCTGTAGTGGATTAATGGATCCCTTGTTTTGGTAGGTGGCTCTGGCTATCAAATATTAGTTGCATTGTGACTTCAGCTCGATTCTGTACTCGTGCATTGCCTGCATGATCACGCACCCGTTGTTAAACGCCGAATTACAAATATTGTGTGCTCCTTAATCTTTAAGTTATATCCAGTAGATTTCATCACATACTCTAGTATTCGTCAAAAATATTCATCTCACTTCCCTTTTCAACCCATTATTGGGTGTATTCCAGAATAATTTTTATTACCTTGCAAGTGTAAGGGTGTCTGTATGCTTCCCGTTGTTGAGTTATCTGATCGACGACAATATACTGTTAATGGAAAATCCATGGAAGTTGCATGCACTGTGGATTGTTTGAGCCCATGTTAGCTATGTTCAGTATGCATTTTGTCTGATGAAATTGTGGAGTACTATTACCGGTATTCAGTTGTCTGTCTGAATAATCACACGTCTCCTAAGGGGGGGACTTGTGGTGAATTCTTGTCATGCCCACTGAACGCTAGTTAGATACTTTTCCGATTGAAACATTTTATGCTGTTTGTCAAGTCAAGTATTTGCTTGATACACTCCGAAAGTTGAATATTTAACAGCTTTGATAACAAACAGTGACTATCTATGTTACGTAATGTTAAATGAGCCTGTTGGGACGGCAGGATGAGCAATTAAATGGAGGGTGTTAGCAAACCCGTACTAAGCAGTTCCAAAACCTTAGGCGTGACGGCTTCACAAATCAAAGTAATAGCTTCTCAAATCATTGTTAAAATGGTATAAACTCATTCTATTCATGTCCGTCTGTGTAAAAATGTCTCCGTCATTCGATCACTCGTGAAATTTTCTTTACTGAAGGGATTAAGCTGCTGGGTGATCGAGGACAGTAACCAAAGCAAATGCACCGGAGCAAGAAGTTTATCATTGCATAATCAGAAACTTAGGTCGCTCAATTGAGAGATTTTGAGACAAATTTGTTGCTTAGTTACACCTTTCTTAAAAAATTTCTATCTACTCATCAGTTGAAACTGCGATTTGCTCCAATTTCGAGTTAATTTTGTGGCATGTTTTCTCGAAAGCGATTCAGGCATTTTCATACTGTTCACATCGCATGCAAAGAGTAAATTACCCGACAAAAATTTGCCCCTGCTCTCAACTAAAACCAGAGAATAAACGCAATCGTTTTCAGACAACACATTCTGGAAGTCACTGGGTTTGAGTAACTGTTCTATTTAGGTTAGCCGTTGGCTCCCGAAGAACTGTCGGACTGCAGGGAATGCATCTGTTGGTAGGCCAGATAGGTGCTTGTTTTAATAAAGTGATTTCAAAGGAGATTCTGTGCAGTTGCTTCTACTTATGAAGAACCCCGTGATAAATCTGCATTGGGAATCCGACTAAAACGGTTATATTATGAACAATGAATGAGCGAATGATCATACAAAATGGCTATCTTCACAAGCAATACAAGGTAGAATCATATCTTTTTGTCAAACCACTAGAGCTATTTCGCCTCGGTTCGTTTCGGTTCGGGTCATCTTGTTCAACAGTGACAAGCAGCTTAACAGTTATAGGTTTGAATACTGCCCTTTGGGAAATTTTTCCACCAGACCATCTAAATGACTGGAAGTGTAAAGACAATTTTACCGTGAAAACAAGAGGAATTGGAAGACCCGTAAAGCCCACACATGTACGTTGCACAGGCTGCTAGAGTATGAACCAACACAACAATCACCTCTTGGAACCAAACAAATCGATATCTTCCCTTGGTTAAGTCGAATGGCCAAGTTATGAAGGGTTGAGAAAAAAAGATGCTCGTGTTTGTGTTTGGGCGGTTGTTCAACAAATTCCCAGTTGGGAGAGCTTGACGATGAAAAAAGCGTCAAGACCCAATTTGAGCTCTTGGAGCAGTGATTAGAATAAATTCCAATCAGTTGATCCGATAAAATGGAAAACATCTTTCGAATGAGTCGAAACGTGGTCACAATTTTCCCCCTCCAGTTGTGGCTAAGTTAAACATGCATATGCGGACTTGATACCATGAGAATAACGCACAATACGGTTAGTAACAGGTTAATTTGATCCCCCTGGTGAACTGCTTCATTGGTCTGATAGAACTAATCTTCCAAGTTCGTAGCCTATCCATGGTGCATAGTTTGTCACTTGCTTTGACGATTCACAGGTGTGAAAAAAACAGATAACGTATCAAGCCGCCGTCAACGGCACGCATACATTCGAATTAAGTTGAGTGATCCAAGGCGAACACGTTAACGGGCCAATAAGATGGTGACTTTGAGTTGGTAACCCATTGATTCTATGATCATCCAATCAGACGATAGTGAGATGCGCACTCGTGTTGCTTGACCTGCTTGGATTCGTCAATTGACCGCTCACACGTCCCCTCTGAGGGAGGACAAAGCATGGTGTTTGATGAAGGTTAAATGTTGTGCGCTTATCTCTCTGCCCCTGCGTACCTTAACCACCGCACAGCGTTGGAGGTACTGCAAATCTAGTCCAATCGCTTTGCTTTATCCGCTCATCTGCGACTGGCTGATCAAGTGCTCGGATCGATGTAGTCAGCCAGTCGTTCCATTTGATTCGTGCAGTGGAAAGCACCAATCAAGGATGATCAAGCTCACGCACTGAGTGATGCGTCACATGACTGCGTGCTGTCATTTTGCCGCGACCATATAGGCTGATACATGGACTGAACCGTGATGACTACATGATTATAATAATAGTTGGCAACGTAAATGAGTCAGCGTGACCGAAGAGATGCATCACTACTACTACTACACTTGCAAGATAATGCCCTTTTTGGGGAAAGCACAGCCCAAATCTATCAAATGTTTCACTTGTTTGCCAGTTGGTATATTGCACCTGGCTGCATAATTTTAACGGATATCCGTTTGTGAAAAGTTCTGGATCACAAGTGAAGCTTTGAAATCCGGTCAATTAAGTTGATATTATCGCAAGTGGACGCACCCGAATGGGCTGGAGAGCTTAAAAGACTGGTGAACTAAGAAACGACAAAACCGAAGGTCGGAATCTTATTTTTTATATCATCAGATCATTTGATCGATGCGCGAAAAAGATACACTTGGCCAATCAAAACGAATATTGCATACTGCTTTATTCGAAATGAAACATCAACTGGGCCGTAGATTTGAGAGTAAATGCTAGATGGCTACCTATGCTTATGGATTAGTGTGCTTTCTGAGTTGCCAATCGTTTCATTTAAGCAAATCGAATACTTCCACAATCAAACAGTCCGTGACGCGCGATGATCGGTTTGTTATATTCGGATCTCACTATGGACATTTAACTTCTAAAATCCTACGGGTCTCCGAACAGTTTTCTGATTAGCTACATGCAGTCCTCGGAAATTGTATTAAACAATGAAAAGTGCATTTCATGTTTAGGTATACTGAGAGTAAATGATTCATAAGATGGTTCAACTTGACACATGCCGATGAAGAATCGTTGCCAGTATTATGCAACCGTTTTAAACTTATTAAGTAATATGTATTTGCATTTCACACACGTCTGTCTTCAGACTATGTGCCAAAAACATCACGATACAATAACCTTTATAAAAAGAAAAACGTTTCATGATTTGCTTGTGGACAGAATACTGTCAGGTTGCTTAGGTCAAGTCAAGTGGATCTTCTTGGGGAGTTCAAAACCGGAGCCTTCGGTCAGCCAAGGCCTGCCCAGCAAGGCCGTTTGTGAAAACCGCAATCCGTTAGGGGCCGGTGTCCGACTCAGCGGATCTTTGGACGGGGTCAAACGTCCAATATGCCCAATATACCTCGATGCCCATCTAGTCAATGATCACTACCAGCATTGGTGGGCGTCAAATTAAATTCTGTTTATGTCAAGCCCAATCCCGAGAGATAGCCGTGTAGCTAAGTAACAATACCGGCTTTACATGTTCGGATTGTAACAGGCACAAGCTTCTTGGGTATACCCCGTGAAAGTCAATAATATGGATGAGGAAGCAGTTGAGTCGATCGATTAAGAATCACAACGGATAAGCTTTCAAGGTGTTTTATTACCATACAACTTTGAAGTTTATCTGCTCTCCTAACATCTTGCACGAAAACATACTGTTGGGTACAGCATTCAGGATACCACTATTTCCTCAAATACCATCGTTTTGCAGTAATATAATTCATAGCACGTTGAGATTGATAACAAAGATGAAAATGTATCCACACTTAAGCAACTTGTATGCATTTTATGATGCAAAAGCATGCAACCAGTGAACATAATCCAGTGCACATTTAATGCATTGGAATCGAATTCTGCTTCGAATGTGTATATTTATTTATATTTACATTTACCAACGGCTTGTAGAAAAGCATGGTGCCAACAATAGTTACACAAACAATGAAAGGGGACAGGTGGATTGGAGTACAGAACGGGGTGAATGCACTGAGCCAGTAGTGCGTCATCGTAAGGCATTTTTATTAAAAGTTTGAAAAAGACATTCTTTGCGGTCATCGAATCCGATCGGTTGGACTTACACTACTGATGAGTTCTGACAAGATCGAAATTCGAGTTTAATGCTTCTGAATGTATGATTCACTGTGAATTGAAATTTGAAGAATGGTCAATCCAGATCAGTCGAATATTTATCTCATGTCACTATTCATAAACAAATGCGGGTCGGATATAGACCATCGTCAGCCTGTATGTATTTCGTGCTTTCTTTCTTTGATTTTTTGGTCGCTTTGTCAGGTTCTGTTGAAACGAGCCGGAGGTGAAGGAAAAGCCACCGTATTCCTGATGACAGATGCTCAAATCAAAGAAGAATCGTTTCTCGAAGATGTGGATAATTTGCTAAATTCCGGGGAGGTACCTAATCTCTACTCTTCCGAAGAGAAAGCTGAAGTGATGGATATGGTACAGTCAGCACAAGAAAGTTCCGGTGGTGGAAAAGCGTCCGATCTTTCACCTCTCGCTTTGTATGCTCTGTTTGTCAATCGATGTAGAGAAAAGTTGCACGTGGTCATGGCTTTCTCGCCAATTGGTGAGGCTTTTCGTAATAGATTGCGACAATTTCCGGCCCTCATCAATTGTTGCACAATTGATTGGTTTCAAGTGAGTGATCATTCAACCCAAATGGTGGATAACGGTGATTTTTTCACGTTACCTTACGATGTATCTGTAATTTAAGCAGCGTAATATTCGTTAAATTGCGGATTTGGGTCTCGAATTCGGGAGTTCACAGTTCCTTTTCCGACAAAATATGCCCTGTACTGACAAGGACAAAACTGCAATTCCGTGAATACCAGTATGATGCGCTATCATGAGATTAGTTGCATGCATGTCGGAACCATCTATGTATTAAAGACTGTGCTCCTGAGAAAAAAATTCTACATTCAAAGTATTACCAACACTAAAAGACTAAAGACCGATTGCATGTAGTTGACTACTTCATGAATACGTTGAAATTTGGAACGCTCTCATTACCAATGAGGTATTTGTGAAGAAAGTCTCATGCCTCCTCCCCTTTTCATTCATTTTTGTAATGCCAGCCATGGCCTGAAGATGCTCTTGAACGTGTAGCCCTAAAGGCGCTTCAACACTTGGACATGGAGGATGATATACGAAATATAACCGTAGAGCTGTTCAAATACTTCCACACGTCCATCACTCCTTTGGCCGAGAAATTCCTGCACCGTTTGGGCCGTAAGACCTACGTGACACCGACATCCTATCTGGAACTTATTGACAGTTTTCAGCGTCTGCTGACTAAGAAACAAGATGAAACAATGCGTGCCAGAATGCGGTATGTTCAAACTGAAGGAGTTATTACCAGTCCTGCTGCTGCTGTGTGTGCGTTATTTTACTGTAACTTTGGGCTACCGTTTTGACTGCTCCCGTATCGGGAGTCTGTTCAAAGAACATTGCGTAACAAGAATACATCGTATTCATCGGCAAACTGTCATGTTCATTCATTTTTGAGTTAATCAGAATGAGCACTTAATTCAGCTTTAATCAACATTTAGTGGAAAACAAAGCATTCATTGTACATGACACGCTCTGGAAACTTCTATACGTAAATATCTTGAAGCAAGCCATTGTTGAGCTACACAAATGAGTGTGCATTCTTCGTATATACATATTTGATTATAAGTAGTATTATAGGTACTATGTGAATGAGTGGACAAAAGTTCCCTAGAAGCACACGACCGGTTTCGCGGTTTATATATATATATATATATATATATATATATATAATGAAAGCTGATCTAGTGAGCTATTTTTCTAATCAACTTCGTTTTGCCTGTTAAAAGAAGTGAATATTCATCTCGCCTGACGAGCTAGGACGGAAGTAAATACTGAGTGCCTTGTTATTGGTCTCCTGTGCAGACCAATCTGGATATCACAAAATGTTTTGTACTGATTAGGGATTCCTTCGGTAACTGCTACTGTTTAAATGCATTCGCGGAAGGCATATTCTTCACAGATGCAGGTGGATATATCTTCTCGCTTGGTTCTGATAGTAAAATACGGTTAGACCTGGGTAAATGTTATGTTTTACATTTATGCAGTCTCTGAAGGTGTCAAATTCAATGTCAAATTCATTCAACTACTGCGCAGCAGCTGGGATTTTAATTTAATATAAGACCCTGTATCAAAAACAGGAATAAGTCAGCTGCCTCGACATCGGTCGTCAATGGTTAAGGTGCGAGTATTAGAAGAAACTTGCAAATTTTGACGAACTTGATGAACTCCATGCTAAAGTCACTGCCCCAGTGCTCAAAAGTGAAGAAGGGCAAATGGAACCTGGACGAGATGAAAGTACAATACCTGTATGAAGTCTATGAGTCATTTTAATTAATAATTTCTAGTTACATCTTCTACGGTGACTTTATTATTTCACAACTGATGCACCAGAAAACATCATCAAACTCACGAAATCGTACATTTTGATGGCACGGGGCTAACAGAAGCAAATACATAAGTGGGTATTATATCAGATATGTTGCGTCTGATGTGGGGCACTAGCAATTTCAATCCCGTGAATGAGCTTGGAAAAACAAAGCAATGAGAGGAATAAATGTGACAAAAATCAAGATGTCGCATGAGTTTGGTCAACATCTGTATATAGTAGTATATAGTAGTGGCATAATATATGAATGACTGGACAAAATTTCCAGTCATTCATATGCTACTTATTGTGAAATATTCAATAAAGACGCTTCAGTGGCGTTTCTTGGGGTTGGTAACATCCAACCCACCTACAAATTATCGAATCATAGTATTGTATCATTGTATCACAGTATTCACGAGACTGACTCTGAAAGAGCTGTCTATCCAAAAATAACCCAGTGTTGTAAATAAGGATATTGTGATAAAAATACACTTCCTGGGTACAAGTATATGAATGAAAAGACAGAACTACGTGATGGGCATAGCCCACGAACGGTTAGAACCGCGAAACCGGTCATGCGCGTCCAGGGAAGTTTTGTTCAGTCATTCATATACTACTTCTTTTCGTATATATGTATATATATATATATAATTTGTATGTATGATATATATGTAACGTTAGCACAGTCAATCCCCTGGTTCATTTGGTGGCACATGTTGCTTAGACTGAGATGAATTTTGAAGTATTTTATGTGCGTACAATTCGTATGTTACAAATATGACAGGTATTGTTATATGTACATCGGACCTTCTTCACTCATCATGTATGAAATGCATTTTTCCTATTCTCATAACTTGTTTTTTAGCTATGTGAATGGTTTGGACAAATTGGCTTTCGCGGCTGAACAAGTGGCCGATATGCAAGTGAAACTGGAAGAACTGCAACCTCAACTGGTAGAGGCCAGTTTGGAAAATGAAAAATTGCTCACAGTTATTGCCACAGAATCGGTGGCTGTGGAAGAGCAACGAGTGAAGGTCAAAGCTGAGGAGGAAATTGTCAACCAGAAGGCGGATGCCTCAAAGGCTCTGAGTGAGGAGTGTCGTGCGGATCTGGCCGAAGCCCAGCCGGCTCTGGAAGCGGCTCTGTGTGCTTTAGACACACTGAAACCGGCCGATATCACCATTGTCAAGTCGATGCAGAATCCGCCTCCAGGTGTGAAATTAGTCATGGAAGCCGTGTGCGTGATGCGCGATATCAAACCAGACAAAGTGAATGATCCCAGTGGGTCGGGGAAAAAGGTCAACGATTACTGGGGCCCATCAAAACGTCTGCTTGGAGAAATGAATTTTATGAACTCACTAAGAGAATACGATAAGGATAATATTAATCCAACAGTAAGTCATTGTGATCTACTTCGATGATTATCCTATTATGACTCTGAAAACTACCCAAGGGATGACTACTGGATAATAATGTGAACACCGTCTATTGTAAAAACATCGAGTTCCAGTGGAACGTATTTTTCTTAAACAAAAAAGCGAAACTGAACGAAAATGTCATTCCTTAGGTCAGTAATATTTGGAACAATTTATGGTCCTGATGGAAAAACGTGCTTGTGTGCATGTGCAAGGGACAGTGAGTGTGAGGTATGAAATGACTGACACCTTGTCAGTAGCAAATGATAGCTGATCATCAGAACAGAAGCAAA